CCACGGCGCCCCGAGCCCGAGGGGCTTGGGGGGAGTCAGTAACACTTCTGCGACAATTGAACAAGCGCCCCGAGACTTGGATGGCACGGGAGCCCGGGGAGGCAACTTCACAGGCGACTTTCTGGGAGAACGGGCGCCTTTCCTTACCTGCGGGGCGCTTTCCATCACTCAGTCGGCTGGCGCCCTCTGGTGGCTGCAGACAGACAGTGCGCCACGTTAACAAGCGTGAAAGGGAGAGGCGGGTTCAGTGATGGAGTTCAGTGTCCTGCCTGCAGGCTCCTGCCCCCTGCCACCCCGCCCCCCAAAGGCAGGAAGGGGCACAAGGAATCCCACACCTCAGGGCGACGCCAGAGGCTCGGGAGCCATTAGGGTGACACCCAGATGACAGGAGCTGTGGGGACACCCCTTCCACCTCTGAGTAAGAGACTTTGTTTTTAAACATGTTTTCATTCATTTCAGAGGAAGGGGGAGAGAGAGAAACATCAATGACAAAGAAGCACTGACCGGCTGCCTCCTGCACGCCCCCCACTGGGGATGGAGCCCGCAACCCGGGCCTGGGGCCTGACCGAGAATCGAACCTGACCTCCTGGTTCCTAGGTCGACGCTCAACCACTGAGCAACACCGGCCATGCTGAGTAAGAGACTTTAGAGGCACAAAAGCACCCGCAGTGAGAGACGTCGGGGAGAGCCCTCCTCCCCCACACACACGTCCGTGGACGTTCACACAGCCCCGTGCCCACCGCAGGCGAGTGGGTGGGGACGGTGGGTGGTCCGTACACAGGCCACTGAGCAGCAGCCAGAGGGAGCCATCGGGACGCACAGTGACAACGAACGGCACACATGGTGCAAACTTGCTCCCCCGACCCCTGCACTTCCCGCCGTGGTCACGGCATCGCCTGGCATCTGCCTCCAAAGTAGAAACTATAGGCGTCCCCCTCCGTGTCCTCCAGGCGCCACGCCCGGCGTCCTCTGCCTCCACCCCTCCAGCCAGTGAGCCGCACGACAGCGCGCAGTGACCTCAGCTGTGAAGGGGGCACGAAGCCCGCTGACCATCATCTCGCCTCGTAACATACGGGGTTGGAAGTTATGCCATGTGCTACTGTATCTCATCATTAGGGCCGAAGGTCACTCACGTATCATCTCGCATCATTAGGGCTGGACATGCGACCATGTCCTACGTCCTGTATCCTGGTGCCCGCCGCCGAGCCTCCCCATTTCCCTTGCCCACCCCTCCTGGACACGCAGGCCCCTCCCCAACTCTCTCAACGAATCGCTCAGACACATCAAATTCCAGCGACGCCGAGTTACTTACAGTTCCCCAAACGCGCGCTGCGACTGCAGGCCAGGTCTGCGTGCGCATCAGCCGTTCTCCAGGGGTGGTCCTTCGGGCGACAGTAGCAGCAGCAGCAGCAACAGCATCCCCTGGGAACTTGATAGAGACAAAAATTCTCAGGTCCCACCCCCGCACCCACTAAATCAGAAACTCGGGGTGGGGCTCAGGGACCCCTGTTCCCGCAAGCCCTCTGGCGGTTCTGAAGCAGGACTAATTTTGAGACCTACGGTGTGTATCCTCTCCTCTGCTTTCTCACTATACTGTTAGGCGAACTCCTATGCAGCCCTTAAAGCCCTCCTGGTGGAAGCCCCACCTGGCTCCATGGCCCGAGACAGGTTATTCACGCTGACCTCTGCGCTAACGCAGCACCGGGGTCACCCTTCTATAGGTGTTCTAGGGCACTGTGCCATAAGCACTTGTTTAGAGGCTCTCTCTTCTACTAGGCTAAACCTGTGTAGTATGATCATACTTTCTGTATTTTTTTAAAATATTTTTTTATTGATTTCAGAGAGGAAGGGAGAGGGAGAGAGAGAAACATCCATGATGAGAGAATTATTGACTGGCTGCCTCCTGCATGCCCCCCACTGGGGATCGAGCCTGCAACCTGGGCATGTGTCCTGACCGGGAATTGAACCTCAACCTCCTGGTTCATAGGTCGATGCTCAACCACTGAGCCACGCCGGCCGGGCTCATGTTTTTTGTTTTGTTTTTTTAATTGATTTGTCCACAGGAGCAAAAAAAAAAACACACTCAAATTTCTCCTTAAGTATCACCTAAGCCAGTGCAGTAGGTATAAACTTTAGTCTATAAACTCAGGTGGGAGAGACAGAAGTGACTTTTCTAATTAAGAGTTTTAAAATTCCATTGTGAAATGTCATGTGAGGGAACTGGAAGGGAAAGACACCTGACTTCCTGTCTGTGGGTGTCTGTTCTTAAAAGCTTATCTGTACAGTGATTGATGGAAAAGAGAGAAGATAAAATTGAAAAGAATTAGGTCAACTCCCCCAAACAATTCTTGGGTCCAAGAGGAAAAAGTGAGCACAAACCCACCCCGTTGAGGAGATAGGCCCACTGAGCGTTTCCATGTCTGCAGGTGACACCCTGAGCTCCGCCCCGACCACAGCCCACAGCCCGCTGCACTGGAAGGTCACCCGCCGCACAGGGCAGGGCAGGCTGACTCCGACATCTATAGAGGCAGGACCTGCACACTGTACTCCAGGAGAGTGACATGGGACACGACCCACACACGGGAGAACACAGCACCAAGCAACAGGAACAGCTTTATCTGAGACTAAAGACTCACTGGACGTCGACCTTGACCTCTCACCCTCAGTCCTTGTGGGCACCAGGAGGGCTCCACGGTGACAATTGAGCCCACGTGTGGCCTCTCTTCCCCACTACCCACAGCCCAAGGGCCAGTGTGGGCTGCCTCCCCCGAGGCTGTGGCCGTGGGGCGCGGACCTGCCCTCGGGCCAGCGGGGGTGGCCAGCAGGGACTGGGGCAGGCCTGGCCTACGGCACGTGGGGCCCCACCGATGACCGTGATGGGCCCACAGGGAACGTGAACTATTGTCGGCGTGGCAGAGTCGTGTGTGTCGGTTTTTCTTCAAAGAGAGGATGTGTGGGAACCCTGGGTGATCCCAGCGTGGAAACGGACAGCTACCACCAAGGTGGGCTGCCAGGAGGGGGCGCTGCCTCCAGCCGCGGACCTGACTCCTCTTGGAATTGCTCCTCCTGCAGTTCAGTCATCTGGGCTGTGACCCTGGTTTGGTCCCGTGTAGGCCTGCGGTCCTCACTCAGGTATGGCCAGCACCCCACCCCTCCCCCCAGGTGTCCATCTCGAACTGTACATTACATGGTCGCCCTGGTGCACAAGTGCCCCCCCCCCACTGACCATGGAGTTCACACACACACGCTGACCACGGAGTCCACACACACACACACACACACACACACACGCTGACCACGAAGTTCACACACCACAGGCCAGGCACAGAGCCCTGTTATAAAGTAATTTTATTAAACTGATCTGGACATACTGTAGGTCAAATAATATTTTCTGAAGACAATTATGGACTTTAAAGCTCGACATAAGATTAGTAGCTTCAAAAGTGTTAGTCGTTTCCCAGCAACAGCATGATAAAATAATTCAACTATGTAGAAATATAGAACTCTAGGCGAGCTGGGAACGGAGTCCCGAGCCCAGCGTCCTCCCGGGGGAGGAAACTAGACTCGAAGGCCAAGTGATCTGCCCAAGCTCACCTCCCTAACAGTGATCAAGCTAGAAATCAAACCAACTGTCCTAACACTAACTCTACCAACTAGAAGGCTACTCCCCTAAGCCTCGCGCTACCGGACATGAGAGAGACGCTACAGTACATTTCGGTCGGGGACCGGCCTGGAAGGGGCTGTGGGGGCTGCGCCGGCCGTTCTGGGTGAAGGGGGAGCGTGTGGGGTGTGACCCCCAAGACTTGTGACATCTGTAGTCAAATCCAGACGGTGACCAGTTAGCCCCGGGGCCCCTGGCTCCCCGGCCCGCCCACCGTGTGCTCCTCTAAGTCGCCCCCTTCCAGCCCAACAGAAAGCTCACACGTGAGAAACCCAAGCTCCGCCAGCACTTCTGACTGCTCTGGTGGCTCGTTTCCCACCTGTGCCATGGAGACACCACGTGGGGACATGCCACCCGTGTCCGAGCTTCGAGACCATAACTCCCCACGACTTCCTGAGCAAAGGGCTGCATGTGGGGCCAGCGCCAACAGGGCGGGCAGACAAGGCTGGCCGCTTTTGTTGTCATTGGGGACTTTTGGTCGTCTAGACATTCCTTGAGTTCCTCCACATGAGTGTTTAATATCAATGTAGCAAAAAAAAAAAAAAAAGGCCTAGAACCTCAGCACCTGCCCCTCACGGCTCACTCCTCAGCGCCCGCCTCTCCACAAACACCGAAGGTCCACCCGCTGCGGTTTGGGGGCTCCACCAGCCAGAGCTCCTCTGCTGTCCGCCCAACGCCACCCCCAGAAAGGCCTTGCCCGACTGCTACCTAAGGATGCCCCACCC